GGGGACGATAGACTACACTAATCAAACAATCATCATGTTTGGACAATTTCAACCTACACCACAGTGTCCGGTGTCGAAACCGGAGGGTAGATTTTCTCGCAATCAAGACTGTCTCGGTAGTAGAGTAAAACACCACCACCACGGGTAGGACGATAACTTCTGAGTAGAGACATCTCCGATAAAGACAATTCTGAGTCCGAAATATCAGTTGTGAGCCAAGTCTCTGTAACAGCAATAATATCCCACTGACTAGATATAAAACGTAAATTCAACTCTGGAAATTTGCCGAGTCCTTGAGCATTGGAGTAGAAACAGTGTAGATACTGTCGGTGTAGAAATCCGCTTGGGTAGGAAATGGTATCTCGGTCGACCCCTTCGCGATCGGCTACTATTAGTTTTTTGGCAGATGAGCTCTGGTACTTTGGACCACGGGTTGCGTGACGGAGCTCGGTACCTGCATGGAATGATCTGTTGCATCAGAAGGGTTCTCCAGATTTGGGCGTGCTTTGAGTAGGGGTCTCACACGTAGTTCCGGAAGCCCTCTGTTCTTTCTTTCCCGCCATAACTGTAAGACTGTGTTCGCCATTTCTGGAGTTCCAAGGGTAACTTTCATTATCCTTGAACCGTTACCACGGTAATGTGGCGAACAGGGAAGACGACTGATTGAGGTTATCGAAAGATAGCTACACTCAAGTAGATCTTGAATGAATCGCCATCCTCCATTTCAGATGGAGGACTGATGCCAACTGGCAGTATTTGCACAATCGAAGCGGGTAGGGGGAGGTCTTATGTCGACAGGGGTCAACTCAACTGTGTCTTGAATTGCTATGCCCAACGTTCAACACGGCGTTGCTGAATATGAATCAGCACATTCCTTAATAACCTCACTTACGCCTACTTTCCTCGGTCGTGTACTCCTAAATAGACGAAAATGATTGCGACTATAACCGCAGCTTTCTCCATCTCATTACACTTTTCTACCTACCACTTATCGCGATCATTCCTCAGACTCTTGATGAGCTGGTGTTTAAGGGATTTACGCGCTTTGTCGTATTTCGAATCCGAAAGAATGGCTTTGCGAGCGTTCAGCAAGGCAACCGAGGTCGGGGAGAAGGTGAATCAACTACAAAAGTTATCTGTGAAATCCCTCATTTCTCGATTCGGAGAAATAGGCCATCGGAAAATGTATCAAAATTAGGCTATTATAATTGTAGAAGGACGGAAAAGTAAACACATAAGTCGCTTGGTAAAGCTCTCTTATTCGTGTGCGGATTCCTTTCCGTACGCGAAAAACAGATTCTTCACTTTGCCTTGTTATGTTAAGACGATTAATCGGCACAGAACGTTGCTCAATGTACTTTACGTTAGTTTAACTTTTATTGAAGTAATGGACACTGTACTTAACACACGATTAATCGAACATAATTCTGCTCTTAAAACAGGTTGTCTCACTTATTGAACTCACGCACCGGAGTGTTGACAGATGTTCACAACACGCTGAGAAACCTGGGTCTTGCTTGTCATGAAACAGTCTGATCAGACATCCGGTGTGAAACTGTCTTGTACATTTGCGTTCTACATGTTGGGCCCCCGGGTTCGATCCCCTGTTGGATCGTACGCATTCGCGGTGTTCATGAGATCCAACCAAATCGAAACAGTGGTGAAGTATATCTTAGAATTTAGTTGACAACGCCTCTTCTCTGTGTACGACGAAAACCAGCATATGATTGAGAGATCGTCATCTTAAGTGTCGAGATGTGCTTTCGCCCTGGTAACGGTTGAAAGTGACAGTGTCCAGGTGCTTGCAACATGTCGTGAAAGACGACTGTGGCATGTGAGGAAGTAGAATGGCGTTCAAGTCTATATTATACACGAGCATAGTGAATGAACGATAGAAAAAGAACATTCCATGTGCAAAGGTAAATGAGAAACGGACAAAAGAGCGTAGAAGTGAGCGAGAGAGGGAGAGATGGTGGATGAATAGAAACGTGTGGAATGTTCAGTGACAATGTGCGCAACTTGTGTACAAGATCAATGCAAATGCAAACGTTTCGACTGGTTTACGGACAGGAAACATCAGGAGATCATTGCCAGATTAGCGATGAGCTTGCGTTCCAATCGGTTTGGGGAAATAAGCCGAGGATAGGGATTGCTGATGCAAAGTACGATCACTTTCATCCGGAACGGAGCAGGCGCTTGTCGTTGTCGGTTTGGTTGCTTCTGATCCAACACGATCGGAATACAGATTATGTGGGACCGGCTGAGAGGAACCCGTCTGAGATGGATTCGACTGTGACCGCATACCTAACGCCGAAGGCAGATATGTGGGTAATCGACTGCTCACATCCGGGGGAAGCATGCTGTTAGCTGTGAGAGAAAACGGAAGAAAGCATCAATGCGATTAACGAGACCACAAAGAGCAACTATCGGAATGCTCGAGAAAATACCATCGAACTGACCACCACTGGGTTTTATCTGTTGACGGAATGAAATTATTCCTGATATACCAAACACGTGTGTTTTTATATTATTTTGACTCGTTCCTTTGAATAAACCCCTTATCTTTTTCAGCCTGTCATCCAGTTGTCGAGTAAAACCTAGATACTGGATCCTTGTCTTAAATCTATTCAGCGGCTGCCGCAATCGTTTTCCGCATCACTTTTGTGAACTGAGAAATTCTCAGGAATGGAATCAGTTCCACACATCATCCACCAGACTTCAAGGGGCCCAATGTTCGGGGAACTTCATCGAGTAATTAATTTCTGGCAACCGGTATACAACCACCTGTAAAAAACATTTTTTTGATTACACACCACTGTTCGATGGAAACAAGATCTAGACGCCATAGTCCAAATTGTCTGCTGTTCACTCAGGGCAACATAAAGCCCGGGACTTGGAATGATGGATCGCATAAGGCCCCACCACTTTAGGCAATACCAAACCTATTTTAATAGTAAAACACTGGGGCTTCATATTAATAGCTAACTGGACGGTGCCCAACCTTCAATCGTTGTGTGTCTATATAACAACTGATAGTTCAATTTATCAGTGAAAATTGAAGGAATTCAGAACATTGAATTATGTTTATCCATCGCATCAATACCGAAAGAAGATAAATGTCACGAGATGTCAGTATTCCGTCTAATCTCTTCGTTCGCTGACGTAAAACAAGCTGCCATATATCGGGTTGATTCAATTATGGTGAACGAAAGTGCACTCTAGATCGGACAGCCTGCCACTTAGGAGTAAATCGATGCCACTATCCTCGCACGCGGATAGG